AGTGCCTAGATGAGGCCAAGCTGTGAATCAATGCAAGCTGCTGGGGGGCCTTGGACCTTCTTTTTGGATGCTGTGGGTCTCTCTGACCCAGCTGCAGTTAGTTAGGTAATTTTAGATTGCAAAGGGCCAGGACATTCATATGCAAAAGCCTCTGTGCACAGCTTGGGTGGGGTGGGGTCTCAGGGAATCAACAAAGTGGAGCAAACAGCTATGGCTGATCCTCAGCCCTGCCCTAAGAGGCCCTGGGTCTCAGTGTCCCAACAATCGCTGCAAGCACCTCTGAGAGAAAGCCACCCTCAAGTTCTGCCTACTGCCAGAAAATCAAGTTTCTCCCCTATGAGCCTGGGTCCCCAGAGACTCACCCAGAACTGGCGTTCAGAGCAGTCAGGAGCTTGTGTCTCCCTCCCGATTGAAAAAGACAGCCGTGTCCTCAGTTGCCAGCCCTGATTGCATGCACCTCTGTACCTCTGCACTTTACTTCCGCACCTCCTCTGAGTCTCAGTGTGCTTTACCTCTTTCCTTCTAGTTGTAGAATTTTCACTCGGTCAGCCTTCCTGTGGTTCTGGATGATGTCTGTTTTGTCTTTAGTTGTATTTTTGAAGTGGTTGTGCGAGGCAGCAATTTCTGGTGTTTATCTATGCTGCCATCTTGATTTCTCCTCTGGAAAAGCAACTTTTAAAAAAGAATTATTTCAGGTTCCAGCACAACTTCAAGCAACATAAGCACCATTGTTATATGTAAGTTCCTTATAAGGTACTAAAGAGAAGGAGATAATGCATGTGCCCAATAATGTGTCCATATTAGTCCCTTCTGGAATATGCACATGTTTGTGGAAGTGAACACAGCTTTCCACAGTGGTAATTTCTACTTTTACCAGATAATTGGGTGGACACAGGTTCTGACCCTTAGTTCATGCCAACAACATCTTCAGGATGTCCTGTGCTCCACTTATATGAAATACTGAGAGGAGTCATATAAAAGATATTTCTGTTGAATTTCTTTTATACAGACAGAAAGTATAATGGTGCCAGGGGCTGGGAGCAAGGGGACGGGGAGTTGTTTAATGGGTAGTTTCAGTCAGGGAAAAGGAAAAGACTTCTGGACAGTGGTGGTAGCTGTGCAGCATTGTGAGCGCACCTAATGCAACTAAACCTTCCACTTAAAATGGTTATAAAACGTACCATGGCTGGTGTTGCTCAGTGATTAGAGTGTCAATCAGACCACCAAAGGGTTGGGGGTTCAATTCCCAGTCAAGGGCTTGGATTTAGGTTGCAGGTTAGATCCCACCCCTGAGTTGGGGGTTGGGGGGTAGGAGGCAACCAATCAATGTGAGATACATTGATGTTTCCCTGTCTCCTCTCTGTCTCTCTCTTCCCCTCCTCCTCCCTTCCAGTCTCTAAGAATCAATGTGTTAATGTAAAAAACCATGGAAACCTGTAAAGAATTTTGTGAGTTTATTTGAGCCCAACTGCCAACATATGCCAGGGAAGCAGAATCTCAACGAATTGAGATAGTGCTCCGGAGAATGGCGGGGTTACACCTGCATTTATACATTTGCAATCAAAGGAGGAACATAGGTGGGTTACATGAAATCCATTGGTGATAGGTTAAGGAGGAGGGATAAAGCAAAGCAGGGGAAACACCTGGGATTGGATAAAAAGTAAAATGATGGACACATACTTAGGTGGGTGTGGGAACATTAACATGATAATGAAGGAGTTTGTGGTATCTGTCCTGGCACCCAGCATATTTGGTTGTGCCCCAGGAATTCAAAGCAACCCAAGTGTCCCTCAACAATGGATGGGTAAACAAAATGTGTTCTGTACATACAATGGAACATTATTTAGTCTTTCAAAAGGAAAACCTGTTATTTACTACTGCATGGTGAACCTGAGGACACTATGCCTAGGGAAAGTACCCAGACACAAAAGGATAAATTTTTATGACTCCACTTATATGAAACACCCAGGGTAGCCATATAAAAGATATTTCTGTCAAATTTCTTTTATACAGACAGAAAGTGTAATGGTGCCAGGGGCTGGGGGCAAGGGGACGGGGAGTTGTTTAATGGGTAGTTTAGGATGGGAGTGAGGATTTTTTAAAATGGTTAATTTGATGTTATTTATTAAAAATCAAAACATGGAGCCCAACCGGTGTGCCTCAGTGGTTGAGCATCAACCTATGAACCAGCAGGTCATGGTTCAATTCCTGGTCAGGGCATGTGTCCAGGTTTTGAACTTGATCCCCAGGGTAGGGCATGCAGGAGGCAACTGATTGATTCTTGTCTCTCATTGTTGTGGACCAACGTTCGAGAGAGTAAGACCACCGACTCCAGTTAGGTCTAAAACAGCAAGTGAGGATTTATTGAAACTGGCCAGTGACTGCCTCGGACTTCTCCATGCAGGGAGACACCTGGTCTGGATGAGATGTCCTAAGTGTAGAATACACACTGCATTCCAAAGGTGTAGTGCAAACACAATGCAGCATATTTAATACTTTTTGATACTGAGTACATGTTGAAATGACAATTGGGAGATATACTTCAATAAAAACATGTTAAAATTAATTTCACCTGTTTCTATTTAAACAAACAACAACAAAACACTGCTACATTCCAAACATTGGGATGTAATCAATACCTTTGTGATCTTTGCCTATATAAATCTGGTGTTGGGGCTGGGGCGGGCACTATGAGATCTGGGAGAGCAAAATGCCCCCTCATAGTCCCGTATTTGCAATAAATGTGACTCTTTAATTCTACTTCTTGAGGTGTCCTTGTGTGATTTGCAGGTTACATTACAACACATTTAGTTATGGTGTATGCATATTTCTACCTATAAAACAACGTTTTCCAGTTCTCAAAGCACTTTATTTTTTTCCAGTTGTTTTCAGGAATAATTGACATACACCACTGTATAAGTTTAAGGCAGACAGCATGATGGTTTGATCTGCAATCATTGTGAAGTGATTACCACACTGGGTTCAGCTGACATCCATCTAAGATGTGACAAACGAAAACTGAAATCTCTAATGGAGCAACTTGAGTTAATTTCCTCTTCAAAGTCAAAACCACAATTCTTAAATTCTATTGTGCTTTTTTTTAAAGGTTTCTTACACTCAAGTTGAAGGTCTTAAGAGCAAAAACTGAGATTTCCCATAGAAGAAAATGTTTCTCCTCGACTGCAGCATCAAGCCCTGCCCTACAGATTTCACTTTACCCAGTTTTATACACTAGAATAACTGAATTAACTTATTTCCAGAGAGGAACTGCTTTTTAAAATTAGAAAGTCTACCATGCTTTAGGGTTCATTTAAAAATTAACTCTAAGAATTATGTATATTTTTAAATATATTTTATTGATTTTTTACCGAGAAGAAGGGAGAGGGATAGAGAGCTAGAAACATCGATGAGAGAGAAACATCCATCAGCTGCCTCCTGCACACCCCACTGGGGATGTGCCCCCAACCAAGGTACATGCCCTTGACCGGAATCGAACCTGGGACCCTTCAGTCCGCAGGCCGATGCTCTATCCACTGAGCCCACCCGGTTTCGGC